TTCTCCCAAATAACAGGTGATAGGACTAGAGAAAACAGCCTCAAGCTGTGCCAGGGGAGGTTTAGATTAGATATTAGGAAAAATTTCTTCACTGAAAGGGTTGTCAAGCATTGGAACAAGCTGCCCAGGGAAGTGGTTGAATCGTCATCCCTGGAGGTATTTAAAAAACATGTCATGTGGTGCTGAGGGACATGGTTTAGTGGTGGACTTGGCAGTGCGAGGTTAACACTTGGATTCAATGATCTTAAAGGTCCAATCCAACCTAAATGATTCTATGATCAAATTATTTTGTCATGCAAGTAGGTAGTGTCCATGTCACATGAAAAAGCCACAAAAAGGATTCTGGTATTATTGTGATGGGTCAATGGACAAGTTACAGGAAAGAAAGTAAGACCTGCCTTTAACCATGTTGAACATGAACTGTGTGTTACCCAGAATGCCACAGATAAAATGGCTAAGACACATCTCACCTAAATTTCGATGCCTGTGTCTACACACTGATCCAGTCCCCCGTTACACTCAATGGAAACCTTACCAATCAACCTTAACAAAGTAGAAGGTTAGATTTAGTCAGATGAATCACACCTGTGGTGGGCTGATCCTGGCCAGCCGCGCACCCAGCCACTCACTCACTCCCCCTCAAAGGACAGGGGAGGTAATCAGAAAAACAAAAGCAAGAAAACTTACTAAACTGTCTTTATCTTGACCTGTAAGTGAAGAAAAGAAAAAGAACAAAAATAGCAATGCAAAGGCTATTCACCAATTCACCACCTCCTACAAGCAGATTGAACACCAACAATTTCACTGACTCTTATCATCTAGATCTCAATTGACTAGTAAAGAACGCAAAAGCAGCTTCCTGAGAGCTAGATACCTACACTGCAGAACATTTGTTTTATTAACACAATTGTAATTTGGAGAGAAAAACCCAACTCAGGCACTTAAGAGACATCTGCATGGACCTAGTAATTGAATTTTTGTGTCTGGGTGAGGAACACAAAATGAAACAGAAAGAAACACCTTTATATGATGACTGTTGATGGGGCATTAATTAATTTTAAAGGGAAAACAAAGAGAGGAATGAAGTGCTAGTTCAAGAACCAAATTAAGGATTTATTTGTTACTTTAAAGATATCTTGCTCTAGTCTACAAAAAAAAAGATTTTTGATAAACACGGGCAAATTATGTAGCGATTACCAAAACACGAAAGCTCAAATTTCTTAACCATCTGTGAAAGTATATAGCAACCCCCAAGACTAGATGGCAAAGTTCATTTTAGATTAAAAGGTTATTTTTCAATCTTAGGTATCAGAGTAAGAATAAGGAATCTATGCCTGAAAAATAAGGTGTTGAGTTATTATTAAATGATAGTTTTCTGTGCTGGAACTGATGAAGCCTAGTTGCTTTTACTGGTTTTGGTTTGCAGTGGACTGACTTTACAGTCTGAGACAGTGCAAGCTCCAACTGAATCTTTCCAGCAATCAGTGTGTTTGGAAGGACATTCCACCCCTCCCACAGCTAACACAGATTATCTAATGGCTAACAAGATATGAGTTTCTATTATCACTTTTTAGAACTTGTAGGGTCTGTTTCCACTGGCCATTTTCATACAATTTGTGGAAAATAATTCTGTTTGGCACTTTTTTCTCCATCTTGTAATTAGCTACAGGACTCTAAAATTAGAGGACATACACAGAGACCATCTAAGTATTGTTTCAATAGGCAAAAAGGACAGAAAAGTTCAGCAGGGAATTTTGGGACTCATGAATTAAGATTAACTTGGCATATTTAGCAGGCAATGAAAGAACAATAAGAACACTTGGAGAATGATGGGTTTCAGCAATGACTCATCACAAATGCTGAGTAGCACATCATGATAGTCCCTTGCCTTTCCTTTCCATCTCCCTACGTTCCTCAGTCTTCTCTCCCCCACTCCAGTACTGGATCCATCAGTTGCACTGAATGCCATCAATCAATGCCTTCCTTCTGAATGGTCAAATATGACTTGGGCATGTTTTAAACCACTTTCAACAGTATTTGAAAAGCAGAGTCAAAAGATTTACTCTCTGAATAAATTATTGTATAATTTCTTATGGATTTTTTTTGATAGTTATTATATTCTTTATTGGATAACATTGTGAGAGAGACAGAGCTGTGTGGGTTTACCTTAGATCAGTGTTAGGCAAAGTACCACCTTACCTTCTAATCATCCATTTCTTTCACACTGTTCAAGAAAGTAAAGACAATTAAATACATAGGTAGCATGACTTTCTAGTACACCATTCTTAGATTGTCACCACAGGACATAGTTTCTAGTGTGTGTGTGTCACGATGGAAGATATTTAAACCTGAACTCATATACGAGCTCAAGTGTTTCAGTTTTCAAATACCTGACTCCAAGATATCTTACAGGAGTTTGAAGGCTTAAATCACATTTAGAAACTAGTAATTTTTGACCCTGAAAATCAGAATATTAATGGTAGTAGATCTTTAAAACTTATCCAAAATAAAAGACGGCGTAAGAACTGCTATTCTGAACCCTCCTATACCTTTATAAAAGACTTTTTGGGAGCAAACATTATCTGCATACCTTGATTGCTGGGATTTCTATTAATTTTCTCTTTTATTTTTCTCCCTTATAAGGCAGACACCAAAACCTGCTACTGCACAGGAATTCTACAGAAACAAATCTCTGAAAATTCTGGGAGTAGTTATGAGCATTATCCTTGTTACATTCACTATGATACATTAAGGACAGTGACTTTCTTCTTTCCTTCCTTCCTTCACAAAGGGAATCCAACTATGCCATCTAAAATTTAGATTAGAAGTTGGAAAATAGACACACTAAACCAGATGAGACCAGCTGCCAGCCTGAGTAGTCTGGACATGGCTAATGCCAGATGAGTAAAAAATCCCACGGTAGGAAATTGTGAAAAACATAGCTCAGTTGGAATGTCTTTCTTAATTATTCTTAAGCTACTGGACTGCTCTCTATCCTGGAGTATGCACCTTTCATCACTCAGGAAACTGAAGTTTTTTCCATATGTTTCCATATACTTGAATTTACTTAAACATGTTGCTGGAACACCAAATTACACTGTGCTGTACATGTCAATTATCACTGGTTACTAATTTTTTCCTACCATTGTCAGAATTTCTGCCTTTCATTTTATTAAGAAAACGCTTTTTTTATTTTGTGGGTGGAAGGAAACAGAGACAATAAGACCTCTCAAAATTTTGGGGGTCTTTTCCCTTCATGCTATATAACAAATGGGACTTTTAACTTTCTTGCATGATTCTCACATTAAAGGATAGTCCAGGTAACAGGAAGGCTTTGAACACTAGGAAAAGAGATAATGCAAGCAGGGTCTAAAAAAATGTGTTGTGTTCAAGTAAAAGCACCACAAACATGATAAAATGCTTTGGTATCTAGCTCTCTTCCTTTTCCATCCCCTAAAATCTTTCTGAAATCTTGAAACATAGTGAGGAGAGAGGAAGGAAAAACAGGTCATCAGGAGGGAGAAGTTTCAATGCATTTGTTTTTAAACAGCATAAAATAAAGATAAAATTATTTCTGGATTTCATAAAAATAATCTACAAAACCAAAACAAATATTTTCTGTCTTCACTGGATTTTCTTAAATTTATGAGTTACATTAAATTACTTCTTGCTACAAGACTTAAACATGAAAATCCTGGCTAAAACTACCAGCAGTACAGAACTGCTGTTTAATTTAATATTTTTGATGAATTTCAACATACAATCATTAGCAGCATTTTAATTACAGTCGTTGTATATGCACATACCAGTGAAATTAGATACTTTACAGTGTTATGGTATTAAGGTTCTTAAAGTTAAATCATGCCAATGCAGATGTTCCTAATTACTTGAAAAGCACAAATACTTACACAAACTGGTTGCTTCCAGCTCCAGCATAATTGAATTAAAGGAATGCTTATAATTTAACAACATGAATGGTAGTTAAGTATAGCTAATATGGGAAATTGTTAAGAAATAATATATATAGCTCACATAAGGGAAGGAGTTAAAGTCCACCTGAGGCAGATAAGAAGCTGATTTGCCTGAGACAAATAAAATATTGCCAAAAGAGGGTGACACTATCAAAGACCCATCAAAACTCAACAAAATCATTTGTTTCCTGGTAGCAATCACTTTACAAACTTGCATTACTGGGATTTTAGGTTTCTTCAGGTCATTGTGCAGGCTTTTGGTTTCGGGAGTTTTTCTTTTTTTTTTTTTTTTTTTTTTTTTAAGCTGCCAAATGGAGTCTAGCTCCACCTCTATATTGCCACTTGAAAAGAGATGTGGTAGGTAAAGTGATACAGCTTTAAATCAACACAGAAGCTGAAGTATGCAAGCCGTGGATGCAGGCAGATTCTCCCCGTGGGCAATCAATGTCTCTGACAGAAGCACCCTTTATGCACAGAAAGTTGTTAATTTTTCCTGCTGCACTCCAGGCTTCCACAAGTAACAGTTTAATGCAAATGTTTACTCCAGAACATTATGCCTTATGATGCAATTGTCAGGTAGATATATTTTGCTTACCTTTTGAAATGTGGGAAGGTGGTCATTTAACTGATAAAACATTATCTATAACCATACACTGTGTGAATAGTGTTACTGCTTTCTTATTTTCTAAATTAAGTCTTTGAAAAATTGTCAAAGGGATGGGATATATAGTAAAGTCCCAGCTCACAGAAATTAGCTACAATAACACAAGGCATTTCTATTCACATTTGCACATCCACTGTATACACATAAGAGTTAAGACTATACTTTTTTCCCCCTGTATATTTTTATTTAGATTAAATCAACAGTAGATATACCAGCACGTCTTTTGTTTTAACAAAAGCTTTAAGATAATATTAAACAAGACAGAAAACAAAAATTAAAAAAAAAAAAAAAAAAGGAAAAAGAAGACCAGACCTATTCAGCATGACCAGATTTCAAACTATGAATCTGAAATGAGTTAACTGTACCTTGAGTCACCTGTTGGATGGCTAGCATCATCCCAGAAACTGTATCAGGAATTAAGTTTTCCTTCCAGTTGTAGACAGGCACCCATGTCAAGATGGGCAGCCTTCTCATGCACCAGAGTTTGATATCTTCAAGGCGAACAGCCTGGATCTTCCTCCAGACTGCACTTCTTTTCTTTTTTGCCCCTGTCATCATCCCTACCCCCCAGAAGCAGTTCTTCTTCCAGAAGAGTGAACAGTTGAGGAATCACCCTGATCTGTGTCAGCCTCCAGTTTTCTTCTGAGGTTTTTGCAGTTTCAAAACTACAGAGGAAATAAAAAATATTAACAGAAGCACTTAAGATTTCTGCAGCTGCTCTGTAACTATACTCAACAAAAATACTTATTAAAATGCTTCAATCATACAAACAGCTACATGAAATGCAGAGATCATGCTTTCTGCTCTTTGCAAAAAAAATTGCTCAAGTCTCACGGTAGTTTGCGATTCTTTCCAGTAACCTCCCGCTTTATATTCCCTGTAATGCTTGTGCTTTTGGCCTCAGTCCAGTGGCAAAAGGAGGTACGAGTGGGTGTGTGTACAATATAGGCTGGGCTATGCTAATAGGAGCGGGAAGTGCCCGGCGGAGCAGGCATCTCCCTGCCAAGCCCAGGAGAGCAGCCTCGGCTCTCCCCCGAGAGAGGGGTTGGCTGCAGTTGGAGGGCATGAAGTCCTCAGCAACCCCGGTGCTAGCAAACTTGTTTTACTCCCTCACTGCTTTGTCTTCCAAATGACAGTTACAAGCTTGTTTCTGTAGAAAATTCAGAACATCAGGTAGCAATAAATCCTGCTGAAAACATATACAGCTTTTCTCCGGAGGCAGAAGTCTCAGACTACTGTGTCCAGTTTTGGGCCCCCTACCATAAAAAAGACATTGAGGTGCTGGAGCGGGTCCAGAGAAGGGCGACAAAGATGGTGAGGGGTCTGGAGAATAAGTCTTATGAGGAGGGGCTGAGGGAGCTGGGGTTATTCAGCCTGGAGAAGAGGAAGCTGAGGGGAGACCTTATTGCTCTCTACAGCTACCTGAAAAGAGGGTGTAGAGAGGAGGGGGTCGGTCTCTTTTCTCAAGTCACAGGCGACAGGACAAGAGGAAATGGCCTCAAGTTACACCAGGGGAGGTTCAGGCTGGATATTAGGAAAAATTTTTTCACTGAAAGGGTTCTCAGCCATTGGAATGGGCTGCCCAGGGAGGTGGTTGAGGCCCCATCCCTGGAGGTGTTCAAAAGACGGGTTGATGTAGTGCTGGGAGGGATGGTTTAGTGATGATGCTCCTTGTTTGTTGTGTGGGTGTCTATTTTTGTCAGTTAGGTTGACGGTTGGACAAGATGATCTTTAAGGTCCCTTCCAACCTAGAAGATTCTGTGATTCTGTGACTAAACTGTAGCAAGCTCAAAGTGCAGTGAAGGACTGCAAGCTATCAGCTCCACGTGGAAAGTGCCAAAAAACACTTGTTGACGATCATTCTTCTCCCAAGCTACCCCTTTCTGCTTTTAGTAGTCCACCCAGCAAAGGCTGTCTCCATGAAGACAGCTCACCAAGTGACTTTCGATGGTGTAATAACTTCACGGAGCTTGTGCGTGATACGAAGCACTTGGACACAAAGTGATAAGAGCATGGAAGAGGCTCATGTGTCAACACATCTAAATGCCTTGTGCAATATAGAACAAGGACACAGTGGCATTCCTCAAGATTTTTGTATCTCTAGATGGCAAAGAAATTTAAGTTAAAGTGTAAGAGCCATCACATGGCTCAAGTGTCTTCCCAATCACTGTTCTGCAAGAGTCAATATAAATAATGATATTTTTAAATATTTCATTTATATAAATTAATTTGCATATTATTGCTTAGATTAAGGTGAATAAAACTGAAGCATTGATCACTCAAAACAGCTCTGGAAAAATGAGGCTTTGCTTCCAAATGCAACAGGGAGAAAAGTACAAGGGTGAATGCACCAGAGTTAGTTCGGGTGGTGTCCACTGATGTGACCCTTAGAAGTGCAAAGGAGAAAAAGAAAAAAGGCAGGAAAAGGTTGCTTCAGACAGACCTTCACCTTTAACTATTCCAGGCGTGCTTATTTTCTGCTCTGCTCATCCTTTAACCATGTCTACCTTTTAAATAACAGAAGAAATACACAAGACATGTTTACCTTACTTATGCTCACTGGAATAAACATCTAAGCATCGATTCTTTTTTTCTTTTCTTTTGGTGCTGTTTTGGGTGTGTGTCTGTGTCCCTGTTTTTAGCTTGAAAGGGCTGATCAAGGACTTCATAATCAAGGTTTTTATGGCTGCCAGGTGTTTCACGACACAGACCTTTCCCTACTTCCAATGATCAGAAGTGGCTGGGAATCCTCTGAGGTACAGTGAGTTACTCAGGTGTCAGGGGCTGCTTAGTTTCAATAAAGTGTTTGGTACCTTCTAGCTTTAATAGCAATTACTGGGGGGAAAAAATTCAAAATACATTTCTATACATAGGTATGTATATGTAAATGTATCAAATCCAGGTACTTGTGCAATAGACACTAATCCCAGGTTTTTTTGGTTCATGGTTCACTAGAAGCTCTGAATATTCTGAAACAGTCAAAAAAAAAAAAAACCTGTTATGAAACCAAAGAACCATCACTAAACACACAAGAACATACTCTCCGTTCTTCAAACTTCAAGCACCAAAATGCTGAAGCTATTTGAAAAAGTCTGTAAATGAGATTTTCCCACCTCATATTTGCAGAGTAAATTGAGACAGTTGTCATCAATCCCAGATTAGTATCTGAACTCCTAGGATTATCCGTATCAACACACTTTTGTCCACCACCACCAACAAGGGATGATTTCTCTCTATGGGTGTGTGCATGCATGAATGCAAATATCTTACAACCAGTACTTGAAAATAAGCCCTGCTAATTAGACACAGACAGAGCTGCACCATGCAAAGTCCTTGGGATGTCCGTGCTGACATGGAATTGTGTAGAAATCTTGTTTTACTCCAACAATTGATTTGATGAGTGAAAAAATTGCATCATCATTAAATCTGGAGTTGATAAACATCATCACTAGACTTGAAAAACAATGTTCCTTGTTGTAATTTTGGAGTTAATAAACTACCCTTAGTTAACAATGACACAAAGCAACATATCCTTTATAGCCCCCCCCCCCCCCCAGACAAAGAAACCAAAAATTTTAAGGGAAAACAGAGGTACAGGTACACATAACAGCAAACCTACGCCTCACTATGCAGTAGTCCAACGTTTGAATCTTAAAGAAACATCAGAAAACACTTTCCTAAAACACAATGGTATCCTGACCGAAACACATACTGTATCACACACTTGATGTTTAAACTTTTTCACATCATGGGGCTATAAACCCCCCAACCTATGCAGGCTTGTCATACTTCAAACTGTATCACGATGTACACAAGCTATCAGGACTGTCAGACCCTCTCTTTTCCTTAAACAGGTGTATAAAACTTTGTTTTCTGGAACAACAAATTATAAGCATGAGGAACCTCAGTTTTCATGTGTTTAAATCAGTGTATTCACACCCACAGAGCTGTAAAGTTCGATCACTTGCAATTATCTCTTTTGATGAGCTTGTACAAGTAAAGCCTATTTGGTCTTCTTTCCTGGAGAATACCCAATAGTATCATTCTAATAGTGTGCACATGGACGATGCTAAAAAGGTTACTACCATAAGTCAAAATTTAGAACACAGATAGTACATAAAAGGAAAGAATGATTGCATCATGGATGAGATCTGGTGGGCTTTTCAAACTTGGCTTATGATAGCTTCACTGAAAAATGAGGTAATCTCTGTGGGGACACTACATTTTCATCAGCTCCTCTAACAATGACATACACTGGATATTTGTACACATGTTGGATACGTGGAGTTAGAAGGTTTGATGCTCTGGCCTCAAAGGATAAAAAAAAAACCCCAAAAAACTAACACCTTACCCCAACCTAGACCTCAAAAAGAAAAATTTCTGGCAAACTCTGAGACAGAAGTCCTAATCCTTACTTCATATGGAAGGAGCTTTTGCAGGAAGCCACAGACGTGGATGCCACGATGGAAATAATGTGACTTGCTCTTTGTAATCTTACTCAAGAAAACAGGTTATTAAAGATCTGCAAACATCCAATATTAAACCGATTTGGACTAACTAAACCTGTATTCATAGAATCACAGAATCATAGAATGGTTTGGGTTGGAAAAGATCTTTAAAGGTCATCTAGTTCCAACCCTCTGCCATGGGCAGGGACATCTTCCACTAGATCAGATTGCTCAAAGCCACAGCTTCTCTGGGCAACCTGTTCTAGTGTCTCACCACCCTCACAGTAAAGAATTTCTTCCTAATATCTCATCTAAATCTACCCTCTTTTAGTTTAAAATTGTTACCCCTCGTCCTATCACTACACTCCCTGATAAAGAGTCCCTCCTCATCTTTCCTGTAGGCCTGCTATAGGCTCTCCCCAGAGCCTTGTCTTCTTTGGCTGAACAACCCCAACTCTCTCAGCCTGTCCTCATAGAAGTGCTCCAACTCACTGATCATCTTCATGACCCTCCTCTGGACTCACTCTAGCAGGTTCATGTCCTTCTCATGTTGGGGTCCCTGGAGCTGGATGCAGTACTCCAGGTAGAGCCTCACAAGAGCAGAGTAGGGCGGGGAGAATCACCTCCCTTGATCTGCTGGCCACACTTCTTTTGATGCAGCCCAGGATACGGTTGGCTTTCTGGGCTGCCAGTGTGCATTGTCAACTCATGTCCAGCTTTTCATCCACCAACACCCCAAAGTCCTTCTCTGTGGGGCTGCTCTCAATCCACTCATCGCCCAGCCTGTATTTGTGCTTGGGGTCACCCTGACCCGGTGCAGGACCTTGCACTTGGCCTGGTTGAACTTCATGAGCTTTGCACAGGCCATCTCTCAAGCCTGTCCAGGTCCCTCTGCATGGCATCCCTCCCTTCTATAGCATCAACCACACCACTCAGCTTGGAGTCATCTTGATGTATTCCAGCTGATTTACATCATTTGTTCCCCAAGAACATCCAGTTCATCCAAATCACTTCCCTATGTTCTCTCATCTACCCTGACTGGGCAAGGGAAAGTACATGCCATCATTAATCTAAAGCTTTGTGCATCTTTCCAGCTCACTGGCTGCTGCACAACTGAATATATAACGATTAAGCTCTCCTCAACTTTTCTTCACTTTCAATTTCCATTATTCCTTGTCCTCTATCCTGATCAACAATTTCTATGAACTCAGTTTTGATACTGATGTCTTTCTGCCAAATGCAGATAAAAATGGCTAAAGGATTCAGAGGATGCTGGATGACAGACTTGAGAAAAAAAGACAGGCAAAAGACTTGGTCACACAACGATTGTGTTTTTAGGAAAGATGGCTAAAATTCCAAGAGAAATCATACAAAAAATTCCATGTGTGTTTGACAAAAAACAGTTGAAGTGGAATGATAGTCAGATTGAACCAGGTACTACTGCAAAGAGATGAACCTTTTCAGTCCACACATCACAGAACACAGCACATGAGAATATCACACAAGCTACTACAACAAGAGGGTGACAGAAAACAGAACAACACAAAAACAGTGACAAAACTCCATACCTTCAACAGAACATTCCCAAATCTCAAGAATTTGTAAAACAGTAAGTTATTATACACATGTATTACATAAAATACTGAACTACACCACAGAAGCTGCATACATTTAAGGATGCAAATTATTTACTATTGAAACTGAAGGAACTTGCCCCTCTGAAATTCTGGTGCATCAAAACTGAACATAACTCTCAAACTCTGAAGCTTCCTAATACGTCTTTGAAAGGTGGATGCAATGCATTTATTTTTCAGTAATACCCAACTGTAAAAGTAATCCTGATTTCAATCATCAAATACCTAAGTGCGGACCTGAATTGAACAAGATACGATTCTTGCCCCGCACAAAACAGATTAAGCTGAAGTCTCCATCCCTTCATCATAGGGGATGTTTAGGAGCCGTTATGGCTTGACACTAATAGCTCCTTTTGCCACGGAGTAATCAGAATTATCACAAGATAAAGGTGAAAAACCCAGGCAGCACACAAGTCAGACCCTGGCTCAAATGGCTTGGGCTCGACTTGGAACATCTCTTGAAATGGGGTTTTCAGCACCATTGCTGCTGCTGTGCTGCACAAAACTGTGTGAAGCAACAATGACATCCAGTGGCTTAGCCTGGTAATTTTTCTCCGGTTATTGCAGATCTGTAACATCAACAGAATCTTTATTCGCTGTATTTCAAATGTATTTACTGGTCAGAGATTCAAGACAGGAGGTCGACAGATAGATCAGCAAGGTACTGAACAGTGGGGGTTCCTAGTGCTCAGATACACTCTGCTCTCAGCTCATCTAATGAATGAGAAATACAAGTGCAGAATAGACCAAAAAGATACCTGGATAATGCAACCATGGTATTGCACTCCATTCCTGTTGTGATACTTACAGCTGTCTACTAATAATTAGCCACACAGTTTCCAAAGAATATAAAAGACATTAAAATTATTGGAAAATTATATTAAATTATTTTAGCACACCTAAAATGAGCAAAGGAAACCTAACGGTGGCTGTCTCTTAGGGAAAACATCTGTAAAGAAAATCTTATTTTTCATTCTCTTTTAAGATTGTTTCTAGCAACTGTTTAAAAGTCAACTTGCCTTCTAATTAGTAACAAAAAAGTTTGTTGTTTTTTTTTTAAACTAAGGATAAGTGTCACAGAATCAGCTGTAAACTGAGATTTATGAATTTATACATTTGAGAATGCATCTTCACAGCCAAAATACATAAAAATATATACAGCTACACTGACATTAAACACGGAAATATTTTGTGGCACCCATTAGTCTTGACACAGACTCATCTCTCCAAGGGAGATGCTGTTTAAGGTCTCAACATCAAAAATGCATATTGAAAAAAAATGTTTAAATCACAAGCATTGGCTTCTTCATATTATTTTGCTTTTCCAAATGTGGTCAAACTGCATAAATCAGATTTTCTCACTTTTAAGTGCACAAACTAGCCTATAAGCCATGCAATGAAAGGAGACAAATTTAACTTTGGAAACCAAGAGATCCAAGTACCTTATGGGCTGGTGGGTGCTCAGCAGCCTGCGGAGCAGCTGCACTGCAGAAGCTCTTTATTGGTTTTGGTTTTAGCCTCGACCACATGATGTTCAAAACTGCTGCTTGCTACAAATCCCCACCATTTCAAATCAGTGGGTACTGAGCATTTAAATACACCTCGGAGGAGTATCCATCAGAGAGCCTGAGACCTCATCTGTAAATGGTGGTGCTGAGACCTGGCCACTGAGGTGCTAATGCAGCTGGCAAAACCAAACCTGAACTCCCATGACAGGGCTCCATTTTTCCTGGAATTCAGATGGAACTGCCTTGCAAGTTAGATAAACAGCAGATAAGTCTAAAATGTAACTGTGTTCAAAAAGTGGAACCCCATGTTCCCAAGCCACCAAAGAGTTCATGCATAAAGTTACTTTTTACCCGCATTAACACAATGTTCTCCTTAATCACATAACATTTAGGTGCTCACTGATTACGGTTTGTTTAATGAGATAATTGTTTGGGAACAACTACCATGAAACAAGCATTCCTCAAGAATTTTACCTCCAGATATCCTTGGAATCATAGAATGATTTAAGAAGGGAGGGACCTCTGAAGGTCATCTCATCCAAAGATTTCCTCAAAGAAGGGATAACCCCAAAGCCAGACCAAGTTGCTCAGGACCTTGCTCAGAAGCATTTTGCAAATCTCCAAGGATGGAGATTCCACAAGCCCTGGGGACAAACAGTTGTTGTGCTTACCTCTCCTCACTGCATTCCCTCCTCCCCCTCCATGTACTCAATCAGAATTTCCCTTGCTACTGCTTGTGAGAGTGACTCTTGTCCTTCTGCTCCACAACTCTGACAACAGGCAGGTTCTATCTCCTCTGCCACCTTCCCTTACTTCTTCCTCAGACACGAGTGCCTTGCTTCAGTTCGCTTTCAAGGGGACTCAAAAAATAAGGCAGTCTTATTAGAAAAACGATCACACACGAACTTGATCAAAATGCTGATGATCTCTTTTATCAATAAGACAACACAGGTTGATTCCAAGCCTCCGGACACAAGTATTTTTAAGGTAGGTGCAACAAACTTCCCTGGAGTGGAGTAGCAGCAACGTGTGACTAAATAGAAAGCCACCCATGGGCCACAGTAACAGCTGCCTGTGGGTATGTTGGGTACAGGAAAACCTTAGCTACCATCAACATCATGAAAAAGAATAGCTTTACTAGCCGTATAATAGATCAATAAAACAAATGTCAAGTGAGAGGAAAAGAATGCTGGAATGTGATATCGCTGTCCTTTTGCTTCTAAAGTGAGGCAGAAAGAATCATTTTCCTGTAGCATCTTCTGCGTTACTGTTTTTTCCCAAAATCATACACTACATTAAACACTGTAGGCAACATAGGAAGTTTTTCATGTTCTCTGTCAAGTGTTACATCATCTTACGGCAGAGGAGCAGATACAAAATCAAAGATTATCCCAATTTACATTGCCTTCCTTCAATAGTAAGTTTTTGCTCTGACACTGTTATAGAGAGAAGATACCACTATCTGAATGATCAGCAACACCTCGCCCTGCCTCCAGACCCTTCAGCAGAGAGAATCCCTCCTTCTGCATCCCAAGATAATCTTATCACACCCCTTTTCCTTTGTGTGAAAGCCTCCAAATGCCTTGTTTCTACCCTCTCTTACTATGCACCGGGCTGCTGCTAACTATTAACTATTTACACCATTCAGTGCTACTGTCAGTTAGAAAAACCTGCGATTTTAAAGTGTCCCTATACTTTACTCATTGGCTTATTGAGCCAGCTGAAATGGATACTTCATCACCTCACTAAGGAAACTCAGCTAAAAGTATATTTATAAGGCAGAAAATTAATCCAGATCTGTAGGTTGCCATAGTATGAATCACAGCGTTAATAGATTTTACAACATATGACAGAAAATACAGCCATTCAAAAAGAAAAATCTGTGAAATATAATAATTAAAATTTAGTATTTAAATAGCTAGTATCTTCCTGCCCTCAGAGACTGCAAGCTGATGGAATTCCAGGGCCAGAGCCAAGTGAAATCCATGAAGCCTGTGGGACAGCTGAAACAGTTCCTGAAAAACCCAATCTAAGAGCATTAACAAATTCACATAGACCTTTTTCCCCTGATTTTAATTTAAAATATCTCAAAAATTATTTTATGAGACTACTACCTTCTAGTCTGCATACTTTACAGAAAGTTTCATGTAAAGAATGCACAGTGCATGCTGAATAAAACTGGGGTTACTTTTCAAACACGAGCCCATAAAGACTTAAATGCTTTCCCTCCCCAAAATTTTTTTTTGCCAAACTGACCTAATAATAGTCAGCAAGTAATGAGAAAAATCCAGTGTGTTGTACACAATGCTACCCTCGTGGTTAAGAAGCTAGAGAGAAGACAAAAAAAATCTGTGCTAGTAACAATCTGAACTGTAACACCAATTTTTATTTGTTCCAGAAATAAGCCTGAAAGATATATAGAGGCATGAGAACATTATTTTTTCTAAAAAACTTTACTACTAGAAGGGAAAGTAATCTCGGAAAAGTAAGTCACACAACTGATGGCTGTACTGAACTATCTTGCTTACTTCAATAAAAAGTCTCAGCCTTGCTTGGGACTTAGTGGACTAGACACACACAGAACATGTAAGTTTGAAATAAAGTATTTTAAACTACCCCATACACGTGCCCACAGCATATAAATAAAATAATAATTAATTCCAAACTCCAACAGTTTAGAAATAAATCATACTAAATCCCCCGAAATACTTGCCACCCGCTCTGCAATCAGGAACCTTGTTGTTACTTGTCCAGTACTTTCTTCCAAAGTGCCAGGAACAAAAACAACCCAATCTGTGTACGGTAGCTCAGAACACTGTGACTCTGCATGCCAGGTCCTTAAGAAGCCATGAACATTTATCAAAAAAAAAAAAAAAAAAAAAAAAAAGAGAGAGAAAACACTGCTCATTCTATCCAGACTGCTATACTATCCAGATGAGACCATAGATTTTATTCAAAGTTCCCATTTTATTCAAAGTTCCCACTGCACAGACACATATTCCCTGATTCCCAAGCCACAGTCCATTTTAATTTGCATAAAAAATACAGAGTAATTGAGATGACAACCCAACCAAAAGCAGCTACTTGCACATTTTATGAAACTGTGTACATTTTACACAACTGATTGTGTAAGAAATTAATCCTATGTATGATGAGACTTGCACGGGCCAGACTCTGTCATTTGGACATTTTTGCCCCAATTGTTACTGGCATATAATTACTGCAGATAAATCTGTTCGAGGTGATCTTGAGCAACGTATTCTATCTTTATACCTCCGCTTCACATGCTAATTAAGATATACTCCTGTTCTCTTCTTATGTGATTGCTAACGACCTCATTGATGAAGAAAAGGCTGTCATTTTCCTGCTTTCTTAAGTATCGTCTGTTACTCAGATTAGCCAATTTAAAATTAGTGGTAAATGAGACAGTCTCCATAAATGCCTTATGGCTTTGAAACATGATCCCTTTTCCTGGGGTTCCAGGGAAATGATCTACATTGCACAACACAGCATGTCTCATTTTTCCTTGGAATATGAAAATGGCACCAACTAGACCGTGGAGAACAGATGATAAAGATGGGACGATGTGCTTGGCGTGGCGGTGGTGTATGGTGTTCCATCCTCCTTGAGGGAACAGAGAGAAAGGAGAAGACCTGCAGCCACGGTCCAACTAAAGAGAAATGGTTGATTCCTTATCATGACTGCATTGTGCAAACTTTAGTTAAATCATGCTTTTAAGATGTTTGAAAAGTTTGTTTGAAATGTGCTTATCAGGGCAAGAAATACACCACTGTTACTGGACAGCTGTTGCAGAACTTCAGTTGTAATCAGTAATCAGGAAGACTGTTTTTCATTGTATATGCATTTAAAATTTTACATACACATTTAAAAATCTATTTTTATCATTTTCTCAGCCTCATTTTCTCTAATCCCATAAACAATGGGAACACAAAAGCTACATTTTACTGAGTTTAAAGAAAAAAAAGAGTTCTAAAAGATTAAACTGGCTTTCATAGCAGTTATGGAAAGATTTCTACTGCCCCAGTGATTGCCTAATTGCCTGTGGAGTGCTTTGTTAAATGAAAACGCACTTGAGTATATGGCTGGATAGTTTGCTGATTCAGGTGCTTTTGTTTAGTTACTCTTGTAACTAAATGTAACTTTTTCGCAAATGACACAAACCATTTTCTTTTGCCTTTTCCCCCCCATAGTTCCTTTTCTATTGCTACTTTTGAAATGCAGACTTTTTAGCTCTAGTGTTGATTTTTCCTTCTCTTCCACTGCTTTACAATTCATTTTCCTCCTCCTGCGCAAGATTTCCAAGTTCTGGCTTTCATGTTCCATACAGGCATTTCCCTTCCACCCCATTAAAACCTCACCCTTGTGCTCAAGTGTGTGATGCAATTATTAAATGAGGTTTTTTTTTTTTCTATCACAGATCAGTTTTGCACTTTCCTGGTTTAGAATTAATTCCTTCAAATGAATCTTTTATTCATAAATTTACAGTATTTGTAAATTAGACATTAAATAGCATTAGCCATAAGGCATATAGCACAGATTTGTTGTTTCAAACTGTGATTACTTTTAGTTAATTTTGCCAAAGTTGAAATTGCAATAGGATTTCGCTAGAGAGAGGGGAAGCTTTCAGCTTTCCCCAGGATACAATAATTAAAAAAAAAAATACCTTGCTTTAAAACACATCTTGGGACAGTTTCTACAGAAAACCTTGCTATCAGAATGAGAGAGAGAAACTTAGACTAATTCAGAGGGGGTCTTTTCAAACTTCAAAGAAGTCTGGTGTGCTTACTACTACCATGACTTTGTTTTCCAACTATTCTTTTACCTCCTGCTGCCTCGAGCCATCTTAGACCCCAGTGTCTGATAAACGAGGGCCCTGTCTGCCATCAAAGACTTATTTTATCTGCATTTATAATCAATACCTACCCTTTTGACGATTGCATCCGTATGTTTGTTCGTAAAGTGCGCTATTTAAAGAGAAAACAACTTAAAACAGTCTAACATCATGCAGGAAACACTGTGAAATGGTATTGTAACAAAGCTGGTTTTGAAAAAGAAAATGGGGCAAAGGTTTCGGTGTGAATTAGAATGCATCTAACAATAAAACCTGTTCCCATTGTTCAAAGTGAAAAGATTATGCTGAAAGTCTTCATTGGCTCCATCACAAAACCGAAAGTCTCTAGAAGTGTATGCATCCCAGCAATTCTTTATTCTAAACAGAAAACCTGTAGAAAAAATTCTGCACCTCGTTATGGAACTTTTATTTACTTATTCTTAAGCCTGATAAGTATCTGCTATAGGAATAGTAGATTTAGGTGCATTATTTCAAAAGAAGTAACTTTGGATCACTGGAAGAAGCTTACTAAACACATCTTAAATTCAAGCACCTTAAGAATCCCACTGAAATTACTGACTAATTATGCCCTTAGATTTAGGAATATGTTTCCCAAATCAGTTTTGTCTTTGTGACATCACTATCATTTCACAAGAGAAATAACAAACAACTAATTTCAGGGGAGAGAGAAATTACATAAATAATCAGATACTTAGCATAAGAGTAACAATAATCTTGCTTCCACATGAAATCATCCATAGAAATAAGACCAAAGGCAGAGTATAAATATGGAATTTCTAAAGATAAGGTAATTCATGCTTTCTAAATGTTTTCCATGAGGCTTAAACTTGAAGAGCTTCTTCAAGTTTAAAGTTGTTCCAGGAAAAAAAAACAACACCACAGAACCTCCAAACATTGAAAAGCTGATATTTTTTCTTCATTGTTAAGAATGTATCTGTTTCTACATTAAGACATCTATACACCAAATTTTAAAGACCAATTTCAAAACTTAGGAGTAAGACGTGTAATGAAAATGCTGAAACATGTTAGAAGTATCAAGTTATGCACATCCAAACATTTTCTGCAACTTTAAAATTTGAACTCAAAGTCTCTAAATGAAAGAAATGTTAATCACAGTATTACATTACAACACATGGAAGAAGCCAGTTCAAACAGCAACCATATATCAATTGTTTATGCTTTACCTAATAAAACCCTGAATAATGTTAAGCAATGTCATCTGCTTGATCTATCCATTGCTGGAGTTGAAACAGCCAAAACCACCACCATTACAGACTTACAAGGAATAATTACATATATGAATAGGTTACTACTTCGGAATTAATTTTCCCTCCATCTGGTGTACATTTTATTTTGACCACAAATGAGGTACTATCCTAGGAAACTAATTAACAATCATTGTCAACAATACCAAAGAGAGCAATCCGATTGATCTACTGAGTGCAGTCCTTGTGTGCTCTATGGCACAGCAGCAGCCCATGGCCACTGGGTTGGAGCCCAGCACCATCCCTATAGGTAACAAGTGTACATTTCAGCTTCTCTTCATTTTCTTCTGAAAGCTAGAGACACTGTATATGTACTTTTTGAGGAAAAGCTGTAACATCAGTATTTCAAAATCGCTTTCCAAAAATCTGCACTACAACTACTGCTGAACTCTTGTTCTGTCAAACTCTCTGTGAAGCATTAGTTTTTCTCCAAACAGTGTAGAAGGCACAAAGACTTCCAAGGGCACAATTTAAACTCAAATTTTGTCGTCAAGGCTAATATTTAAATCTTCTGTGTCATATGCAACACTGGGTGAGGAGTGAATGGTAACGTTGCTGCAGAAAACAGATGTTTCCCGAGACCACAAAAGCTACTTTGATATTTTTTCATTTAGGAAGAAGAAATTAATTTATTATTTATATGGCAGTGCTGCATTAACTGGGTCCGGACTTCAGGGAAAACATCCACACCATTAAATATCTGAGGGCCAGGAAATCACACAATCACAGAATCTTCTAGGTTGGAAGGGACCTTAAAGATCATCTTGTCCAACCGTCAACCTAATTTTGACAAAAATTGCTCATCTGAGCGCCATTATCGAATGTTAAAAAAAAAAATAATTAACAAACTGACAAGCCCATCTCACACAGTGATGCTACAAAACCCATCCCAAAGGCCAAATTGAAAAGAAAGATATTGTTGGACAATGAGTTATAATTACCTCATTTTACACTGGAGAACTTGAAAATATTCTGATAAGTATAAATGCTCTACATTTTATCTAAATAATTATCTTCAAATGGAAAAGGCGATGAATACATAATTTGATTTTTTCTGTTATTGTGAAGGTCCCTGCTTCCTCTCACCACTGTGTTGACTTCCCTCAGACAGACAGCAAGAAAAACACCTAAACAAAAACATCCTCTCCCGTATTAAAAGAAAAAAAAAAAACCCTGACAAACAGCAAAGTGCTCTTGTTTGTTGCTTTGCTTCCATGAGTTATCAGACGAATTTCAAGGCTGGAGGTATTTCTTAAGTTAAAATCTTAGCACATTCCAATGCAGCTCTCCAAATGAAATAAAAAAACCAAAACAGTGTATTTACTGTTACGAAATATCTGAAATACCTGTTTTGTTTGAACACATCCACAGCAGGATGATAGCTTAAAAAAAGGGATTTGGGTTTTAGTACTGAAATAAACTACAATAACATATATTAAGCAGTAAAAAAACCCTACTTACTACTTTTTCTGGCTTAATTATCAAGCTTAGCTGCTTTTCACTGACTTCATTCTATCTAACCTGGTGAGGTAATTTTAGCTTGCGTGGTATAAATCATTGGCAAGATTAACAATCCATATTAAGATGAGGTATGTTTTACTGCTGCTCAGCTAAACATGTCAGCTAAAGTAATTATGGCTATGAAGCTGCATTTAGTTTTCCATAATGGGATCCACACGTTTACACACATTTGGAAGGCGG